TCTTTGCATATATTTTGATTCAATGTCCATCTTTTAAATCTTTTTTGTCCTTTCTATTTTATAGTTATTGGGTTATGGTCTGCCCACTCATTTACTCCTATTTCTACTTCTTCCACTCCTGTCCGTATTTCTGCTGTCATCCAAACCATATCAATCTTGGACCAGGATTGGTGTGGGTGTGAATAAAATGTATATTGGCTCTCTTCACTATGCATTTCTCTCCATACATCTTGCAATTTTAGTTCTGTTGTCATATTAAAGAATTCTTTTGGTAATATATCTGTTTTTTTTTTTTAATTACTCTTATAATCTTTTTTGATATCCACTATTGCGTTATAGTCCCCAATTAAACAAATATTATCATATCCTAGTTCTATTATTTTATTGTGCATTTTTTTAAAAAATTAATGTTGATTTTTATTGGGAGCATATATTACTATTAATAACAGTTGTTTTTGTTCGATTTCTAATTCTACCATTAACATTCTACTTTCTTCGTCCGAATGAATTAATTTTGATTTTATTCTTTCTTTTACATATATAGCAATTCCTCTTTTTTTCTTTTGTATTAATGATGTATATAGTCTTCCTAATGTTGGGTTCTCTAATAGTTTCTGGTATCCTTTTTTAATGTGTACCTCTTAAAGGCATATCATGTCCGTTTCAAATTTTTTTAATTTAGTCAAAATTTGTGTTCTTTTTTTTCTTTTTCTTTTTTCTTTTTTTTCTTTTTTTTTTTTTTTTTTTGGTGCATTCAAACCGTTTATGTTCACAGAGAAGAGATTTATTGCCTCTGCCACTTCTTACTGAAGTTGTTTTTGGTGTTTCTTGTCTCTCTTTTTACTCTCCCTCTTGCTCCCTCTTTTTCTTCTTGTTCTTTTTCCTGTATTTTTCTTGTTTCTCTTTCTCTTTCCATTTCTTCTATTTGATCTTCCTCCTGGCTTTTGCTCTCTGATTCTTCCTTGCTTTCTTGTTCTTCTTCTTGTGAAAGATAACGTTTATAAAATTCTTGTGCTTTCTCTACCATGTCCACTCTGTATTTTCTGTCTTGCCATGTAATAAATATGCCATCTGGTATTAACCATCTAAACATCATCTTATATTTGGTCAGTTGAGTTGTCAAAAATTGGTATTGTTGCCGTTGATTCTGGATTCTTCGTAGTATTTGCTTCAAAATTTCTTTGCCTTTGTATGTTAATGTTTCTTCTCTTGATTTCTTATAAATTTCATCTCTCACTGCTTTTTTTGTAAATCTTAAGTGTACTTCCCTTGCCAGCCTGTGTCTTCGTATATAGTTGGTGTGCACACAATAAATTTCGTCTATCTGTCCCCTTATTTCCATCTTGTTTCTTTGTGTTAATTCTGCCAAAATTTCTGCCATTTTTTCACCCAAATCCTCCTCTTTTTCTTCCATGATGTTTTGGAACTGTAGGAAATATGAAGCTTTTTCCATTTCTAAAAATGCAATGACTTCTGTTCCACCATTTCTATTTTGACATCTATTTGGTTCATTTTTGTTTCCATTTTTTTAATTCTTTGGTCGTTCTCCAACATTGCTTGTTGTATGGTCTCTATTTTATTGTTCATATTTTTAATATCTTCTTTTACCTCTCCTATTTCATTCTTAATTTCTTTATGATGTACTTTTGCCTCTTCATGATTATCAGAAATTTTCTCTAGTGTTTTCATTAATGTTTCCTGTATCATCTGCAACATACTCTGCATATTGTTTGCTGACAAATCTGTTTTCTCTTTTTCTTTCCCCAACATGTTTTCAATTTTGCTTTGGTTTGACGGGGAGGCAGCTATTGGAGTGGGAATTGTAGTTGGTTTTTTCCCTGTTTTAACTACAGTTGCCATGTTTGACATTTTTAAGCCTTGGGTAAAATTTTTCCACAATATCATATAACCATATAACCAATACTCTCTAATTATGTTTATACATGTATCTCTGTAATTCTTATTTACTATATCCACAGTCTTCCAAGATAGTCTCTTTTAATATTTTTATATTTTTCCCTGTCCACTTACTATATACTTATATATTGCACAATACAATTATTGAAATTATATATATATATATATAATGTCTTACTTAAACTTTATCAATAATTATCTTTTGATTACTTTCTATTTATCTTATACAAGTTATACAAGATTATAAATCACTTTAGTTCATTCAAACAAGTCAATTTAATCTTTCATTGCTTCATTAATCATTTACTGTCTTTTACCTTCCCCCTCACCTTTTCAATGACAGTAAAAAGCTCTATTTATTATTTTTCCTTTCTTTCACAGTCTATATTTATTTTATTTTATTTTCAGTTGTTTCCTTTTATTACTTAGCCTCTGGTTGCAAATGTCTGTAGTAATATTGCATCAATGTTGCATCAGACATTGACTCCTTCAATCCTTCAGTCCTATCCCCAAGTCCTTCTATTATTCTATTATCTTCTCTTCCTTCTTCTTCCTTCTTCTTTATGTATTTTTGTATTTATATTTCCGTTATTATAATTGCACAGCTTATATTTATATTGTCACTCACTAATCAGTTATTAATCCTTAAATGTTTTTTCCAATATTGTAAATCCCTTAGAATATTTTCCAATATATTTTCTTCGCTGTTCCCCCTCTCTTGTTTTCTTCTGGAACCCTCTCCGCTTCTTTTTATTTTTTAAGTTCTTATCTCCATTCCAGTTATCCTCTCAGTCTATTTAAATCCACCTTATGGGTTCTTCCTTCTTTCGCACTAACCTCTTCTCCAATTCGTCTTTCTGTTCTGCGCTCTGTTTCGTTTTAGTCGCCGCCTTTCCTTCTCCTCCGCGTCTTTCTCCTCTCGTGTCTCCGATCAGCAAACTTTCATCCCTCCTTCTTCCAGATTCTCCTCAGCCACCATCCGAAGCTATTTTCACTTTCCGCTTCCCCACTATGTGGCCACCATCACTCTTGATCTGCCCTGGAGGCCAACTCTTTTTCCACTGGATTAAGAGGTTTGTTTTTGTCCTCCCGGTTGATTACTGTTCACCCCGGGGTCTCCAGACCTTCCCCTTTCATTTTCCGATCTCTCCGGGATCGGAGCTGCTCATAAAGAGCCCCTAGCAAAGAATATTTTGGATTTTGGGGATGACACTTCGTTCCCTCTCCCACTTTGCAATGACATCACTGCTGGAAGTCCGGTTTCTTTATTTTTTATTATTCTCTGTGACTCACTACAGATTTCATACTCATGAGACCATCTGCTAAGAATTAAGCAATGTTTCTTTAAGGAGCAGCTTTCTGTGATCTCACCCCCACCATCTTTACAAACGTGGAGGAGATCCTAACACAGGAAGAAGCAATTTCCCCAGAGCTATGGATTACCAAAAAAAACCAAATGGAGGAAACGGAGACAGAGAGGTAAAACAGCGGGAATTTTAAACAGGCTAAGGAATAGGAGAAATAAAAAAACCCTGCCTTCAATTTTCCTAACCAACTTACATTCACTTGCTAATAAGGTGTTGAAACACTCTTTTTAAACAGATGCAATTCTGATTTTTACAATTCAGCAGTGGGCTGGTCTCTCATTCTAATAAGGTGCCTTTTAGAGAAAGTGAAGGAAGAACACACATCACAACAATAACCAGTTCAGAAGTTTAAAAGGGATCCGTGACATGGAAAAGATTCTGCGAACTGCTCTAAAGTCTAATAAGATAACTGGGCTACAAGGTGAACTGCTTCTAGTTGTTATTGTTGTTCAGCGCATGTGGCAGAAGTTCTTTGAAATCTTTGCTAGAGTGATGATGGAGAGAAACATCCAGTTAGACCAGATAATACCAATTTGATTACCCAGTTATCCAATCCATAAACACCAGACCATACCATTCACAAAGGCAGCTATGTTGGAGCAGGAATTGCTTTAAATCAAAGCTATATAATTAATCTTACTTCTTCATACTGTGTTCTCATTTGAATCACCTTGCCCTCTTAACTATGGAATAGAGTGAGAAAACCTGTCCACATACAGTAATATGTCTGCTGCTTTAATGTTTAAAAAATGAGGTCAGGAAACAGCATTGGAGATGTGTGCTTTCCCATGAATTTCAACCATTGTAGATCCATATAGTCTCTATTTTTACAACATTGCTGTCTACTGGAAAAAATGTTAAAGAATCTGATAAAAATGTCTATGTAAGGTCAAAGAACATATTTAGCTCTTCTAGTTATGCTCACCAGTTGAGACATGACAGACAGGAAACAATCATCTCAAGGAGAAAACTGAGCAGACATTTGTCCGACAGTACAGATTAGCTAACATCCTGGACACTCATCAAGGGCCCAGAGTGTAGAGGGCATAGGGAATGACCTTGAAGAACTGGAGGAAGAGCTGCTAGCAACACATATAACTATGATGGCGAACCTATGGCACACATGCCACACCTGGCACACAGAGCACTCTCTGCAGGCACACAAGCCGTAACTAAGCTCAGCTCCATGCACGCGCTTGCCTCCTGCTGGCCAGCTGATTTTTGGGATGTGTGAGGGTGGGTCATATGTGTGCATACAGGGGGTGGGCGGAGGGGGGATAGGGAGTGTGGGGGGAGCCCTCCCACGGCCCATTTTTGGGCCCAGGAGGCTGCAGGGGGTGGGGGTCACATGCGCATGCACGAGGGTGGGGGGCGTGGGGAATCGCATACACATACATGGGGGGGCAGGGGGTCATGCGCAGATGCACAGGGGGGCGCATTGCATTATGGGTGCCGGCACACGCGCTTTTGACACACGAAGAGAAAAAGGTTAGCCATCACTGGTATATAAAATAAATGGAGCTTGAGCCTAGCCCAAGAAAATAATTTGATCCTGTCACTATAGTTGTCCCAATGAAAGTAGTCCTAACTTATATGCTGTTGTTTCTTAGTCTGGTCTGTCTTGTTGGGCTGACATAGTGGCACATGATGCAGATATGAGAACAGGAAAGTATGAGTGCAAGGAAAAGGAAAACCAAAAGAAAACACTCAAAGGAAGTGGTTCAAAACAGTATAGTTTGGGAAGGAAAGTGGCATCAGAAAGATATAATAAATGTCAGTTCAACATTTGCTTACTGCAATATTTTTTTAAAAAAAAAATCTCTCAAACATCCTTGTATGCCCATGCACCTGTTAAAGTATCTCTGCTCTAGCTCATCTTAGTGAGTACTGTTTCTATAATATAATGAATAGCTCATGGCTTCCCCCCTGTGTCAGTTATTGGAAAGGATCTGCCACCGGGGTGGAGGGGGGGGGTTGTCCTGTGAAAAGGTTTTGGTTTGGCTTCCTTAGCATTTGTTTGGCTGTGTAATCTTGTGAAGCACAGTAGTAGGTGCCTGTGTCGTCCAGCTGGGCATTCTCCAGAGACAGAGGCAAGGCAAGTGACTTCATCCCTGTGGTCTTGAAGCGTTTTTTAAAGGCTTCCTCAATGGCAGAGTCTCCTGGAGAGCCTTTAGATGTAAAAGCCACCAGCTGGAACTGGGAATGGGCTTCCCTCCTCTTCTCTTGCTTGTACCAGGACATAAATGTATGGCTGGTTTGAACCTGAGAACAAGTCAGTGTGGTTGCATCCCCTTCCATCACGATCACATCTGGCGGCTGAACAATAGCAGCAGCTACAAAAATCCATAATTATTTCATTGTTAATGGACTCATTGTGGAGATATAACAAAATTTGTTTTAAATAAAGGAAAGTGATAGCTTTGAAAATGAGATCTATTTCTTAAAGTTGTGAATTAAGCTATACTAACAGCTAATTATTTTTTGTGACATTGTGGTAAATTTGTGTGTGTGTATCAGAATTTTACAATGCTTTTATCCCTTCAATTTTTTTTATGACTAACTCAGACATTTGTAAATTCACAACTCAGCTCAACAAGTTAATTAAAGAATTAAGTAAACAACAGTAAAAAAAGGTAAGGATGCTGCTTGTTATTGGTCTTCATGATGTACATGAGTAGCACCATCACTGAAATTACACTAGTAATGTTATCACAGTTTTCTTTTGAAGGTCTTTACTGCTTTCAGATCTTCAACTATTTTTCAGAAACTGAAGATAAGTCATTAATATCTTAGCTAATATTTTTCTATTGTGCTTCTTTTTCACATCACTTGGGACATGGCTGTCATTTATTTAATGTTAAAATGTGGCAAGGAAACGACTCCCGGATTCTACGAATTGAAAGAACAGTGATTTAAGTAATGGCAGTAAATCTCTTACCTGATAAGGACAAGAGAGCAAAAACCAAAAGGAAGCTCATTTGTGGCAATAGAGTCTTCTCTGACTGGGTCAACTGTGTCTATATTAATATAAGGTGTAACTGCAACAAAATGCAGATGTGAGAACAGGAAATCACATGAGCACGAAAATCAGAGTAGAAACATTTGAGCAAGGTGAATAGAAAGACCTGAATATCTAGATTGAAGGATTCTTTGAATTTACAGTCTCATCTGAAAGCTATGAGGTATCTAAATAGTTTTAGCGTCAGAATATTTTGCAGAAGTATTCTCTGAGATGATTCTTTGAATTGGACCGGAGGGACTCTCTAGGCTGCCTGGAAGGAGTTCACCCGATAGCTACATAATTAGTTTCCAGTGAATTCACCCCAATCCATGAGAATCAATGAGTATAAACTTCAGTCAAACTGCCTTTGGACACCATTTGTTGGGAAACTAGTTGGCTTCTTTGTGCAGCTGGTTGGCCACCTTGACAACAGATTGCTGAATTGCAGGCTTGGGAATCCGATATAGCAGGACACTGCTTAGACTGTAAATGTTCTTACAGAAACATTTGAATTAGCATTACAAGTAGTACTCCACTTAGGACTGTTGATGACTGTTGAAAGTTATGACCTACCTGAAAAAAGGGAGTTCTGATCCAGTTCCAATAGTTATGTGACCATACTTTGGGTTCTTAGCAACATAGTCGCATTTCGTGGCCAAGTTTTACAACATTTCTGCCCAAAACCAGAGGTTACTTCTGGTATCCAGGAAAACTGTACCAAGACGAAAATGGGTTCATTTAACAACCACCACATTCGCTTAATGATCATCACAAAAATGATGGTAAAATCATAAAAGACTCACAACATAGAACCATAATGAACAGGCTCCATTATTGTCTTATGTCGAGGACTGCCTGTACAAAAAGAGGCTCCGATCGTTTGTGGGGTTCATGGAGCCTCCTTAAAACACAGAACTCCTTACGGTCTCCTGAGAAATACTTGCAGAATAGCAGGAGGTTGCCAGGAGGCCAGCAGCCTCTGCAAGAAATTCATATTGCATCACATCGGTCAGGCTCCTCTGCAAAAGACAAAAAGGTAAGGTGGGTGTTGCTGGGCCTTGAAGCTGGGTGACGAGTAGGCCAAATCCTGCAAGTCTCTTAGATGGCTGGATGGGAAGCAAGCCTTGGCCTACTGGCTGCAACTGCTCTGGTTGCTTCTGCTCACCAGCTTTCCACTCCCTTGCTTGGCTGGGAGCAGGCCGAGGCCTGGGGAACTCCAAGGGACAGGGAGCAAATCCTTGGGAGGCCCAGGACAGGTGGGCCTGAGCCTGCACTACACCTCCAAGGCCTCCCCAACCAGAGGCACCCCATGCTTCACTTAATCACCCACACATTCATTTTACAATTGCATTCGGGAGAGGAAGGATGAGGGTCATTAATTAAGATGCTTCACTTAATGGCCATTGCAACATGTGACCATAATCGGCAGGATCCATTACAGTCATACGTTGAGGACTATCTGTAGTTCACTCCTTTTTAAAAAATTGTTTTAGCCTTCTTTTATTTGGAGCATGGATTCTGGCACATATACATCTGTGTCATATGCAAACATTTATATGAACCTCCCAGTTTGTTCTAAGATGGAGCAATCTTTGATTGACCACGTGAGGTTGGGGTTAAGGTGCCACACAGAACTTTTGCCTGTGAATATTTATTAAATATATATACTCCCTCTTTTGAGTGTTTATCTGAAGTAAAATAAAGCATGAAAGACTACTAATACAAGTTAGAGTTGCAGTCTGTCTTCAAGCAATTATGACTTGCTTGTGTCAGTTATTGGGAAGGATCTGCCACAGGGGTGGTTCTTGTGAAGAGGTTTTGGCTTGGCTTCCTCAGCATTTGCTTGGCTGTGTGCTCTTGTGAAGCACAGTAGTAGGTGCCTGTGTCTTCCAGCTGGGCATTCTCCAGAGACAGAGGAAAGGCATGTGACTTCATCCCTCTGGTCTTGAAGCGTTTTTTAAAGGCTTCCTCAATGGCAGATTCTCCTGAAGAACCTTCTGATGAAAAAGCCACCAGCTGGAACTGGGAATGGGCTTCCCTCCTCTTCTCTTGCTTGTACCAGGACATATACGTATGTTTGGTCTTAAGTTGAGAACATGTCAGTGTGATTTCATCCCCTTCCATAATGATCATATCTGGTATCTGATCAATAACAGCAGCTATAAGAATCCATAATTGATTAATATTTTATTGATTCATTGTGAGTATGTAATCACATTCATTATAATAATGGAAAATGACAGCTTTGAAAATGAGATATATTTCTGAAAGTTGGGAACAAAGGAGTACTAACTTGCCTGCTTATTTTTTGTGGCGCTGGTAAATTGATTTATGTTTATTACAAACACACGAAAAGGAAAATAATTTTAGTTCAGTGCCTTTATCCCTTCAATTTTTTAAATGAGAAACTCACTTCTAAATTCACAGCTAAGCTTAACAAGTTAGTTAAACATCCAGTAAACAATATATTGATGAAGATTTTCAGTCCTCCAAATAGAGTTGTCTGGAAATTGAATCTGTCTAAATGACTGCAAATCTTTATTGACATATTGCCATGCACTTTGGGAGGGAAAACCCTGAGTTTGGCATGGAAGGAGTTAGTACATTCCAACGACTCTATGCCTAACCAGCTTGCACAGACTGAAGAATCTGCTTGGATCAGCAGCAAAATGTCTCAAACTCAAACCAACAAAAATAAATTTAATTACTATCACTCATTTTCCAGACATCCAAGCAAAAAGTAGTAAAAAGAGGTAAGGATATTGCTTTAGTTATTGGTCTTTGTGATGCACACGAGTCACACCAGCATTGAAATTACATCAGTGACATTATCACATTTTTATTTTGAAGGCCTTTATTACTTTCAGATCTTTAACTGCTTTTCAGAAACAGAATATCAGGCCAAGTCATGAATACCCTAGCTAATTATTTTTTATTGTGCTCCTTTTTAACATCACTTGGAATATGTCCATCATTTAATTTCATGCTGATGTTAAAATCTGGCAAAGAAAAGATTCTCAGATTCTATAAAAAGAAAGAACAGAGATTTAAGTTATAGCAGTAAATCCTTACCCGTCAAGGACAAGAGAGCAAACAACAAAAGGAAGCTCATTTGTGGCAATAGGGCATCTCAGCAGAATCTTGTCTGGCTGGGCCAGCTATACCTACATTAATATAAGGTGTAACAGCAACAAAATGAAGATGTGAGAACAGGAAATCATGTGATAAATGAAATCAGATTAGAACCATTTGAGTAAGGGAAGTTTAAAAAAATGTCAAATAGAAAGACCTGAATGTCTGATTGAAGTATTCTGTGAATTTGCAGCTCAGCTGCAGCTGTAAAAAAAAAAGGGGGGGGGGGAATGTTTCCCTTGCCAGTCATGTCTGACTAGGGATGGTGTTCATTTCCGATTTACAGTTGAAGAGCCAGCATTGTCCAAAACACCTCCATAGTCATATGGCCACTACAGGTTTGTAAATTGTTTTCTTCTGGATTACGAGCCAGCCTGCAACCATGTTGTTTAGGAATTCATAGCACTGGAATTTCAACACATTTTAAAGATACCAGTTTGAGAATCTTGACCTAGACTGAATGTTTTCTTTCTCTTGGTTCCAGTCTATATTTTCCCCCAACTGCTTACCTCACTTAATATCAATTCTTATCACCTTGCTCATATATATAATGAGTAATGAGCTCATAAACATAATCACTAGTTCTTCCCTGTTTGCATCAGCCCACATGTCCATCTCCACTCAGGGGCATGACTTCTCAATGCGTCCATTGTTACTCATGAGGACTTAGGTTTCACTCTTTTCCTTCATACTCTAGTTGGTGCCAGATCTTAAGTGTTTCCACAAGGGCCCTTTTATGGTTTTTATCTTCTTTAGTGTACTTTAATCTCTCCTTGTTATCACAAAGTCATGTTCTTTCTTCCTGAAGACATCTCAGATGCCCTCAAAATGGAGACACACAATCTTCCTTAGAAACCAAGTTCTTTTTATCTTTTCTTAAGCCATCTTTTCCTTGTAATCCTCTTTTCCCTGTCCAACATTATATCAGAAGCACCTCCCATATCCAACTCAATCTTTCTGATGCAAAAAATAATTTTCCAGCCGTGAACTAAGAAAGAGCTATTTAGAAATTGATAGAAAGGAACAGGATAAAATTATTTTTCAGTAGGTTTTGACTGCTTCTAGATTATTTGGCTAATTTCTGAAGAAGCCTGCTGTATCCTGTCTATATTTAATCATAATCTCATAGAATGCACTTAATTCTGTCATTTACCTATCTCTGTCCTCCCCGTCTATTTAATTTCCCAAATCCAATACATGAATTTGAAAAGTCTGCAACATACAAATATATTCTACAAATATTCTACAAATATATTTCAAAGTTAAATGCCTCTGATTTGCAGAATTACATCATAATAGTTGATTCCATTTCATTACTTACTGGTATATATTGTCTGTAAACATATCTCACTTTTTAGAAATTCATGACTTCCCAAAATGGCTGAGGCAATCCTGCCTTATGCATATACAGTAATCTAGTCACTTTAGTAAAGTTGTGTCCATTTAATCAACAACACATTTACCTTTACCAAAAAAACCTCTTGCTCTTTTTTTTTTATTGCAAAAGTTTTACAATTACATTTTCACCCCTTTCCCCCCCACTCAACCCACCCCAACCTTCCCAACCTCCCTAACCCTCCCTAGCCCTCCCCTCCCCCCGGACTTCCACACAGTATACTCATATCAAGTAAAAAAAAACCAAAACCTTTATATAAAACTTATATAAAACTTGAACCCCTCCCTCCCCCTTATAATTTTCTTTTTTATCTTCATTACATTAACATATTTCTATCTTGATATATCATTTTCAAATGAAAGCTATTTGATACTTCCTAGTTTGGTATTTGTTCTGAACATAATCTATCCACTTTTTCCATTCCCATTCATAAGTCTCTTGTGAACAATCTTTTAAATATGCTGAAATCTTCGCCATCTCTGCAAAACTGGCCTCTTGCTCTTTTTACTCTAGGAAAAGATGAGAGAAACTTTAACATGATCAATCTTTCCTCCCTCACTGTCTCATTCTGAAGACAATTCCTCCTTAATATTTTCAACTAATTTGCCTTAGTTGCTCTCATATTCTTATTATATATGTAACACAGATTAAGTGTTATCTTCATAGTTTTCTCTTTTTTTAACAAATTGGCCTTAGGTTATGATGATTTTGTTTTAATAAAAATATATATTCCACATTAATAATGTGGGAAGATTGGGCATCACTTATAATGTATGATCTAATGGAATAAGAGAAAAATGAAACATTGCCAAAACAAGCGTACAAGCCTAGAATTGAATAAGAATACCTGTGTATAGAGGCCTATTTTATTTAAGTGAACCAATAATTACAATTTTGGAATATATTGTCTTGTTTACTAGCACTTTTTGATTCATTGTTTATATCTAAAATAAACACAAGAACATAAGACATATTTAGTAGTTAGAACTTAGTGAGAATCATGAAAAACTGCCTGGATCATGCATACTGACATGTAGATGAGCAGTTGACAGTGAGACTGTGCATTTTGAAAGCATTTCCTGCCAGATCATTAAACTGAAACTGGTAAGTGGCTGGAGGGGACAGAACATGAATTTTCTTCCTTCCTCAGATTAAAACATCAACAAAATTAGTGGTTGTCAAAATGTTCACACACTTCAGAAATGTTCTACTTCACTTTCACATTCAGGAGAGGTTATGTCATCCCAATGCTTCTGGAAGATGTGCATTTTGCAATACCTGGACGTAAGAAGAACCTTCTCTCCTGAAAAAAAAAGGCATCAGGCAATGTCTTTTGGGAAGCACACTGTTTTATTAGATAAAATGAAAAACAAATGCCAGGGTTGAAAACTGATCTTTCAGAATCCAAAGTGCTGTCCTTCCTCTTTAGCAGAGATCCCAGCTGGTCCCAGTTTTCCATATAAATTGAGTCGTCTCCACCCCACAAGATGGTTATTGAAGGAAAGCTCTGTCAGAAGATATGAGACAGAACAAAAAAGCATAATCTCCCATAAATATGAACCATTTGTCTATGAAAAGCCTGCTGTTCCTCATATCCACCTTGTGCATTTGCTCCAGCCATTCTGCAGTTTCCCAACTGCATTTCTTTGCATTCCTGGATCCCAAACACCAGACTTACCTCCAATGGGACTATGTTGACAAATTTGCCATTATGACTTTTCAGTTTCAAACCCAGTCAACTGGATGGGTGGCTTTTGGCTTCATCATTGATAAGGTGAATTATCTACAGACCCCTCACATCCTGGACATAAATTGTTTCAACTTCTACCTCAAAACGAGCACTGTAGTGCTATAGAGCACTGCACACCAAAACAACTAGACACAAAAATAGTTTTTTCCTGAACGCCATCACTCTGCTTAACAACTAATTCCCACAACACTGTCAAATAATTTACTAAGACTGTATTACTATTATTATTCTCTTCCTTACTAGTAACTATCTCTTCCCATGGTTATTACTATAACCATGTTGCTTGCATCTTTCAATTATAGTGTTTTTGTTTCCTAGTACAATTTGATAGCTTATTAGTAACCTTGACTATCACTAAGTGATTATCTTTTTTATTCTTGATGAATGTATTCTATTCTATTCTATTCTATTCTATTCTATTCTATTCTATTCTATTCTATTCTATTCTACTCTTCTCTGTACTCTGTACGCTGTACTCAATTCATTCAAGGTGAATTCAATAGAGCTGTGTAGTTTTCAGATCCAATTCCAAAAAAGTGATTCAAGGTACATAGTGAACTCCATTTAGACATGGAAAGGAAGAATTCTTTAGCCAACTGTGGAAGGAAACAGAAATAGTATCTCATTTGTCCTCAAGTAAACTTATTTCGTTTACTTAGGTTACACCCTATTTGGTGCCAGATCTTAAGTGTTTCCACAAGTGCTTTTTTGTGATTTTTTTACTTCTTTACTGTACTTTAATCTCTCCTTGTTATCACAAAGTCATGTTCCCTCTTCCTGGAGGCATCTCAGATGCCCTCAAAATGGAGACACACGATCTTCCTGAAAGTTTCTTCTTTCCAAGAAACCAAGTTCTTTAGATCTTTTCTTAAGCCATCCTTGCCTTGTAATCCTCTTTTCCCTCTCCAACATTGTATCAGAAGCACCTCCCACAACCAATTCAATCTTTCTGATGCAAAATAATTTTTCACCCCTGAACTGAGAAAGAGCTATTTAATGCATTGATACAAAGGGGCAGGACAAGATCAGTTTTCAGTAGGTTTTGGCTGCTTCTAGATTATTTGGCTAATTTCTAAAAAAGACTGTTGTATCCTATCCATACCTAGTCAAAATCTGAAAGAATGCACTTAACTTCTCTCATTTACCCATCCCTGGCCTCCCCCTTCTATTTAATTTTCCAACTGCATTACATAAATCTGAAAATCTGAAACATACAAATGTATTCCTACTAAATGCTCCAAATTAAATGCCTCTGACTTGCAGAATTCCATCATAAAATAGCTGATTCTAATCCATTACTTATATATTGGCTGTAGAAACCCATGACTTCCCAAAATGGCTGAGGCAAGTCCTGCCCTATGCTTACGCAGTAATCTAGGAAAACTGTTTCCATATAAATTAACCCCTGTACCTTTACCCCAAGGGTGAAATCCAGCAGGTTCTCACAGGTTCTGGAGAACTGGCGGCAGAAATTTTGAGCAGTTCAGAGAACCAGCAAATACCCTCTGACTGGCCCCAGAGTGGGGTGGGAATGGAGATTTTGCAGTATCCTTCCCATGCCATGCCCACCAAGCCACGCCCACCAACCCACACCACGTCTACCAAGCCACGCCCACAGAACCGGTAGTAAAAAAAACTTTGGATTTCACCACTGCTTTATCCCCAAAAAAAACCCACCCTCCAAACCTTTTTACTCTAGGAAAAGATGAGAGACACTTTAACATGATCAACCATTCCTCTCTCAACCATTCTCAAGATAATTCGTTCAGATTATTCTGAATATTTTCATAACTATTCAGATGTCAGCTACTATTCACATGGACATGTTTAAAAATCTGTAGATTGATAGAGTACACAGAAAGGTTCCTACCAGTTAGTTTTTGTATTTCTGAACAATACTAAGTATATAAAACTTACCAGCCAATCAGTGCTTTGTGACTAATCGTTAACTAGGGGTCTCATTTCACCATTCAGGTCCACACCTAAACATGCAAACTTCTCCCTTTCTACAAACATAAAAGGTAATAAATCGCTTGGAGTTTGTCATGTGCAAAATGTTCCAGAAGAACTTTCTGGGAAATATTCCATTTTAGCTCCAGTTCTCATTGATTTGGCCAATCGAAAGTGAGTCCTGGGTGTTTTATTTTTAATGTAAACAGGAAGTGATTTGATAAACTGGATATGTTCCAGTCTCCAAATAGAACATTTTGCATGGTGACGAAGCTTTCCCTTTCTGACATGCTGGCAGTGCTGTATGTGGGCTTCTTTCCCTAATCATGGCAGCACCCAGGCGGTTCCTAGGAGAGGGAAAGTGACTTGAATGGGAAATTTCTTCTAATAAAAACAGAGTCCCTCTTCAAGCTCATTGTCATTTTTGAAACAGCATTTTAAATAACCAGGCTCAAATTATCCTGTTTCAGATAAATTTAATAGAAGCCTAGCTCTCTAGAGAAGGCTTTAATGCTGGGAAAGGAGGAAGGAAAGAGAAGATGATGACCAGCAGCAAGGTGGATAGACTCAGTTACAGTGGCACGGGAGTGCACTCTTGGACAACCTGAAAGACCAGGTTAGGATTGTCATAGAAAAAAATGATGTGGTTGCTAAGAGTTTGACAATGATTCCATGGCACATACTCAATCAATCATAATCTCAAAATTCTGGTTATGCCGTGTGATGGAAGAATGGGCAAATCATCTTGCAGGAGTATCAATCTGCACCTTCATCTGGAATTACACAAAATGGAAATAGATACACCAAAGAACCAACATTATGCTAACATGTATTATTTTGACATTTCAGGATGAGTTTGGTTTTTTTAAAAAAAAAATTTGTTTGTGCATATGTACAAAGCTTTCATCCACTAGGAATTGTTCTTCAGATCATGCTGGAAGCACATTAGGATATTGTTCTTGGCAGATTCCATGACAAAATCTATATGTGTCTTTTCTGTTAAAACCAATGTGACTTTTTAAAATGTATCTTGCCATTTTCATGTCTTTGACAATAAAAATATCATGCACATTCACAGCAATATGAGCCAATTAGCAGAGAGGCTGTCTCTTCTGATGGCTGTGGAACAACATAATAGGCCAAAGGAATGAAATACATGCTGGTTATTAGAGAATGATGACAGTGTCCAGATTGCCAATGCTAAACCATGGCCAATATAGATGAGATTGCAGAAAACTCATACTCCATCTTTGATGCTGCTTGTGCAGTTTACTTGTCTTGGGTTAGCTTTACACACAAAATAAACATCAACAAACCCAAGCTACTATACTCACAGTGTAGTGCCACATTCAGTCCAGGCTTCTAATAAGTCTACTTCATTTAATACATGTTTTAAAGAATAAATAAGAGTCACTGTGGTCTTTTGGCTAAGGAGTTGACCTAGAACTGGAGAAATCCAGCATCTAGGTTACCCTAAATCATTTGAGCTTACTAGGTACCTTTTGACCAGCTACAGTCTTTGGCCATGTCTAGTTGCCCTAGACCCCTTTTGATCTTCCTCGAAGAGTATTTTCTAGAGAGAGAAAATTGAAACAGGCAGACACTAATTAACCATGAGTACTAAGCAAGACTGGAAATTAGGGGAAAAAATAGAAGACAGCAATAACAAATATTTCTATATAATTCTCAAGCATAATAAAACAACATATACATGCCAATTAAATCATCAAAATTTGAACTTCACTCTTTTTAAAAAGCCTAACTGGACCCAACTGATCTGCCTCAGTTGCTCTCAGATTCTTGATAAAAATAAATAAATATATTAGAAGGGAACATGGGCAAATTTACATAAAAAATACAGCCAGGATGCCAAAAGGACAATCCAAAATAAATACAAGGATGCCAATTACTGAAATCCTTTTGCTAAAGACACAGATTAAGTGTTCTCTTCACAGTTTTCTCTCTCTTTTTCTTGCAACAGATTAGCCTATTTAGATTATGATGAATCTTTTTAAAAACAAAAAAACATCCACACTAATAATATGGGAAGATTGGGCATCTCTTGTAATGTATTATCTAATGGAATAAAAGGAAAATGAAATAAGAATCCCTGATTACAGAGGCCTAGTTTACTTAAATGAACCAATAATTACAATTTTGGAATATTTGCTTAGTTTGGTATTACTTTTTAACCTGTTGTTCATACACAAGAATGTAGGACACGTAGTATTGTTGGAATTTAGTAGGAAGTCATAGAAAACTGCCTGGATAGTGCATGAATTTTCCTCTCTATCTTTCCTCAAATTAAAACACCAAAAATTGGAAGAGCCTGTAGTACAGTGGACTAAAGCACTGTTATTAACATCTGCTGCTTGCAATTACTGCAAGTTCAAATCTCACCAGGCTCAAGGTTGACTCAGCCTTCCATCCTTTCAAAGGTAGGTGAAATGAGGACCCAGATTGTGGGGGCAGTAAGCTGACTTTCTATAAATATACAAAAGTATGAAGGCTATTGCTTAACGCATTGTAAGCCGCCCTGAGTCTCCAGAGAAGAGCGGCATATAAATTAAAGCAAAAAAAAAAAATAGTGGTGGTCAAAATGTTCACACACTTCAGAAATGTTCTACTTCACTTTCAATTCAGGAGAGGTTATGTCATCCCAAATGCTTTTGGAAGATGTGCATCTTGCAAAACCTGGACACAAGAAGAATTTTCTTTCCTGAAAAAAAAAAAAAAGACATCAAGCAATGCCTTTTGGGAAGCATGCCACTTTATTGCATAAAATGAAAAACAAATGCCAGGGCTGAAAACTGATCTTTCAGAATCCAAAATGCTGTCCTTCCTCTTTGGCAGGGATCCCAGCTGGTCCCAGTTTTTTATATATATTGGTTCTCTCCACCCCCACAAGGTGGGTACTGAAGGAAAGATATGTATCAAAAGATATGAGAGACAACAAAAAAGCACAATATACCCCAAATATGAACCATTCATCTATGAAAAGCCTGCTGCTCCTCATGTCTACCTTGTGCCTTTGCTCCAGCCATCCTGCAATTTCCCAACTGCGTTTCTCTGTGTTCTTGGATCCCAAACACCAGATTTACCTCCGATGGGACTATGATGATGAACTTGCCTTTATGAGTTTTGAATTTCAAGCCCAGTCAACTGGATGGGTGGCTTTTGGCTTCACCAATAATAAGGACATTCCTGGAGCAGACTTCGTGATTGGTGGTGTTCTTCCTGATGGCAACATCTATTTCTCGGTAAGAGTAAATCAAGAGTGCCATTTCACTAGGAGCTTGGCTCTGTGTACAGAATTGAGGAGGGGAGAGGGATAATTTGTAGTTTGAAGGTACAAATGAATTTAGAAATGATTGTTTCACATGACCAATGAGATAGCTGCAGTATCATTTATGAACTGCTGGGGCAAATTATATTTTCATTCTTGCTGGCTGGCGTAGCAGAAAAAGAATATTTGAGGGAGTTGGGTGATTCAAAAATGCAAAATATAAATAAATAAATCCCTGATGGCTTCTGCGGTATTGGCTTGCTTAGTTTATGTTGGGAGGCACAGAAATAATTATTTCTGAGGCATAATTTGTGTTCTAAAAGCAATGATCCCTAAAACCTCAACAAAATAAAGAAGAAAAAAATCTGTGTTTCTTTAAAGGAGATAGTGAAATGTCTATAGTTTATTTTGTCTTGGGGATGTTTTCCTATTCAGAAACTATTTATTTTTCAACCGAATCTTGTGAAATGGAAAGTCTGGGCCACTTATCATGTCTGCATAGTTTCAGAGGCAATTATTATTTCTTGAGTTCCAGGATGATTTTTTTTTTTTATTGTAATATCAAGAGATATAGCTCATTCCTACCAAATTACAAGCTAATTTTTACCCTTAAGCTTAGTAACATAGTTAGGTTTTTTAAAGTGTGTATACAAATATACACACACATTTACATCAGTGCAAACTAATTCCATATTTAATAGCCAGATGCAGTATTTTAGTTCAATTATTCATATGTATACACATTCACTCATACACACACCTTCCTCCTACCTATCTATAGCAATCCTGCAGCAAGATCAATGAGATATGAATATAATGATTGGTCCAAGGTCTCCAGGGAGGGTTCATTCTGGTGACGGTGTCTCTAACTGGATGGTCTCTTGGCCAAATGATGGTCTCTTCCTCTATCCATGGCAACATATTTGTGAGTTCTTCCTATTTCACTCAGGATTGGCATGGTGTGAATGAGGATACCATCTTGGAGGATGAAAGGCAAGATTATGAGCTGCTATCATTGACCCAGGATGCAACGTCTACCACCATGGCATTCAGGCGACAGTTCCGGACATGCGATGAACATGACCTGGACATCACAGTAAGCAAAACAATGGGACCTGTTATTATTTGTTTGTTTGTTTATTTGTTTTATTTTTCATCCCATATTTATTATTTTTCACAAATAACCCAAGGCAGCAAACATACCTAATATTCCTTCTTCCTCCTCTTTACAATCCTGTGAAGTGAGTTGGGTTGAGAGAAAGTGACTGGTCCAAAGTCACCCAGCCAGCTTTCATGCCTCGGTTGGAACTAGAATTCAGAGTCTCCTGGTTTCTAGCATAAAGATAAATAATAGCACAGGCAAGGATATGGAAGCAAAAGACACAAAGAAAAAAGAATTTGCTGCTACAAGGAGGGAACTGCCTTAGCTTGTTACCCTTTGAGAAACTAAAATATTTTCCTTCCTTTTAAAACCAAGGAGCATTTCAAGGGTTTGTTTGTGGTTCAGGTGTTAACTCATAAAGGTGATGAGTGTTAGAGTACAATACAAATAACAACAGAAACATCTTATGCAGTGCTACCAAAATATAATAAAAATTTCAATATAAAATCTTTAGAAGTCCATTCAAAGTCTGAAAACACACTTAAAATGAAATATTGGCAGAGGGGAGACAGCTGTTTTGAGACTCCATCTTGTAAATGCAGATAGTTGTTAGTTGAGATAGTTGAGATATGAAAGAATATGGATGAATTGTGTCTACAGGCACTGGTCTATGACAATTCACCACAGCCAACTCACTACAGCCAATTCGCCATGGCAAACCAGCCACGGTCAACTTGCCACAGCCAACTCACCGCAGGACAACACGCCATAGCCAATTTACCACGGGACAACTCCCTATGGGACAATATCAAAGAAATGGTGGGATAGAATCATTAAAGAAAGGATGCAAAAGGAGGGAAAAATGAAATGTGAATGACAAAAATTAAAATATTTTTAAAATATTTTAAATAATTAAATTGAATTGTTAAATTGTTCTATGGCGAGTTGGCCATGACGAGTTGGCAGCGGAGAGTTGGCTGCAGCAAATTGGCTGTGGCGAATTGTCCCATTCTATATGCATCTTCACTCCACCTATTTGCCACTTGCAGGGCAACTAAAAGAGTTCAAACCATTTTCCCATTACTGAAAAAACCAACTAAAAATCTGAGACATGACCACCCTCCCAAGCCACACATACACAGAGTTTCATAGTTTCATAGTTGCATTGTTCCACTTAGCATTGTTCCATATACACAGAGTTTCATAGTGGCATTGTTCCATTAAACCCATCTTTTAAGTTGTTGTTTTTAATTTGGGAGAATTCTCTGTTTCCATACTAGCCCAAAATCCTCTTCTGATATATCTTTCTTTGTCAAAACTGAAGTGGGTACAAAGCTCTTATTTTAGTGGTAGTTATTTATAGTTATATTTTAAAACCATGAAAAGAAAGAACAGCCTTTTTTTTTTTTAACAAAGGAAACAGAAAATACATTAGTTAAAGGAATTTCTATGGCTAAGAACCTAAACAATGAGAAGAAGAGCTAATCAATGGTTATGATCTCTGCTCTTATCCCTAAAAAGGATAAGGAAATTAAATGCCCACCAGGCTCTTATGTCTAAATGAAAACATGTGCTCCTATTACTGCTAAGAAATCACGGAGCAGCAAAAGATAATAAGCAATCCATGGAAGGAATGAGTCAGTGGTATTAAGGACAATTGTTTTCATAGAGGGCAGCAGCATGGATAATTGCCTTTCCCAAAGTAGGTCAAGGATCCCCAAGTCTTCCACAGACAATAATCACAACCTTCTTGAAGTTGTGAAGAGCTGTTGCTCCTCTCCCAGATTTCTCTTAGGCAAAAGACAAGTGCAATGGTGATGTACGTTTCTGCTTTCTGCAGAAAAGGTCTTCCAAAATTCCTAAGGATGAATGGATTTAAGGATCTAAACAGTCCATTTAAAAGTTCTAAGCTGCATTTTCATATTAGTTAGCAAGCATTCCATATGCATGGAAAGGCTTGAGATACATAATGGTATAACAAGTAAAATACAAATAAGGAAAGAATTGAGGAATCAGTGTGGGTTTTAGAACAAGCTTTACAAGGATCAAAATACATTGAATATGCAATGGATATCAGCAGAATCTTCAGTTAAATTGGTTAATTCATTAACTAATTAAAAGTTAAGCTGATTCTTCGGTGAATTATTAAACAAAACTGGTTCTTACTAGAAATTGGGGCTGCTGCAGATATTAGAAATTAGAGAATACTAGAGTTGGAAGGAACTCAGAGGTCTTCCAGTCCAACTCCCTGCTCAAGCCTATACAATTTTGGATAAATGGCTGTCCTCTTCTTAAAAACTTCCAGTGATGAAGCACCCACAACTTCTGGAGGAAAGCTGTTCCACTACTTTCCCCATTGACAGGAAATTTCTTCTTAATTCTAGGATATTTTGGGATTCTAATATGCCATGCTTTCTTCTACCAGTTTCACAGAGGAGTGCTACAAATATTCTCTGCCTGCAATTTTCTTGTGTTTCTTCAGTCTTCCAAATGAGAAGGTCCATAAATAAATCTGTCTGAGTGCTTGCATATGCATTGAAATCATTATTCCCAACTCTTGGGCAGACTGGGCTATGAATCCTAGGTGTAACATCTCCAACACATATGAAGGGCAGTGGGTTGGGAACATCTGATCTAAGTACCCAAAGGCATTCCTGCCAGAGTGCCTTAATCTAACTCCTTTGTTATTAAAACTGACCCTCATTAAATGTTTGTTTCAGAAACTGACCACTGTTTCAGCAAATCCTCTGCCCCCAACAGTTCAATTCTTTGCTTGATGACCAAATGCATTCATCTCCACAAAACAGCAAGTCTAAGAGTTGTTAGTATATCATCACCTGAACCAGGGTGGATGTTATTTTCTTTACTAATTCATCATAAGTAAAGCCTGTTTTGGGAGAAGAAAGCTCACAAAAGAATTTAATCATACAAATTGATAAAAACATTAGTATGGATTTGTGTTAAGATTTGTATAACTCTGGGAAGAGATAATTGCAATAGGAAAAAACCAAGGTTCAAGACCCTAGGAAGTGTCTTGGAAGAAGAAGACAAGCTAAATGTTTAAGGATATGATAGACAGAGGAGACTTTCCTTTTCATTTATGTCTACACAGGGTGACACACAACGCCTCATGGCTGCATTTGGAACAAATGACACAATTGACTTCTTCAAAGGAAAAATAATCCACAAATCTCTCTTCTTGATGCTGGTGGTAACTGAAGAGAAACTAAAACGTCCCAGTGTCTATCATATATACGATTTGAAAGTAAATGATGTAAGTATCTAAAATTAAAAATTCTTGCCATTCCATGGCTTTCAATGGTCCCCAGCAGATTGGTCTCTTTCATTCATTGGCTCCTTGCTCTGGTGACCACACAGAATAATACAAATCTCTTTCAGGGTAAGAATACACAGGCCTGAGATACTTACCATGTGCCTTGGCTTCTATTTTCAGTTTCCTATCCCAGAGGATGATACCACCTATGCCTGTACCTTTCTCCCTTTACCCATTGTCAAGACAAAACATCATATTTATAAGGTACCTAGAAAATCAAGCAGGGTGTTTTGCTGGTGAGATTGACAATTATCCCAGACTGTAAGACCTTTTCACTTGCTGATACCTTCCTGGTCTGACCTTGCCTTTTTTCTGTCCAGTTTAGCCCCATGATAACACCTCGGAATATAACACTGGTGCACCACATCATAGCATATGCTTGTGGCAATGGAAGCGTGCTTCCCAGTGGAGTCAGTGACTGCTATGGAGGTGATCCTGATTTTTCTCTGTGCTCTCAGATAATTGCTGGCTGGGCTGTAGGAGGAGGGGTGAGTGTGTAGATCTTCTAAACCAGATTAAATGGTCCCTATTTCTCATTGAGTGTTTAACCCACAGTTGTTTGTAAACCTACTATATCTCTGGAACAGTCTTGCATTTTTAAAGATTTTATTTCATAGCAACTTTTGGGAATGAAGGAGGAATCGCTCAATATTTTAAATTATCTAGTGCAGTATGATCATGGGTTTTGCTCAGTATGGTTTTCTTCTTGCAGTTGTTGCCAAATTAAATCATATCATCTGGTTTTTGACACAAGAGAGTGAGGTTTTATGCAGCTTTACCTAATTATCTGGGTCAAGGTTGTTGCAGTTTGTATGCCTTAAATCTCAACAACATCAAGATCCCTACATCCCAACCTATGCTACCCACTATAACTTGTGGCACAGAAGTTAAAGTGCAGTATTGCAGGCAAACTCTGTCCACAGCCTGGAGTTTGATCCTGATGGGGCTCATCCTTCCAAAATCAATAAAATGTTGGCCACAATGTGCAAATAATGCTTTTACATTTTAGTGGCATGACTGTCAAGTGACAGTCTCTCTCTCTCTCTCTCTCTCTCTCTCTCTCTCTCTCTCTCTCTCTTTCTCTCTCCTCCCTCTCCCTCTCTCTCTCCCTCTCCCTCTCCCTCCTTTCCTTCCCTCCCTCTCCTATTTCCATAAATAAGTCCTACATGTTCCCAGATGAAACTGGAATCTCCATAGGGACTCCAATTGATCCCCAATGGATCCGACTAGAAATTCATTACAGCAATTTTGATTTCCTTCCAGGTAAGTAAAAGTGCATGTGAATTGATTAAGGGAAAAATTAGAGGCACAAACAGGTATCCGAGACAGAATGAAAAGAAGTGCATGTTATCAGGATTCAAAGATGCAAATTCCAGATGAAAAGAAATGAATATCTGTAAAGTATGTTTCCTATATCTATAAGGGATAGACCAACTGAGCAAGAGAAACAAGACTGTACCAAAAGCTCTACAATTTTATTTGAGAAATATGTAATTTCTCAAATGGCAAGGTGAGATAATGTGGGGGGGGGAAGGACTGTTTAAGTGAGAGGAGGCAGCTCAGTCAGTTCAAAGATGACTAGATAAAACCATGAGAATTTTCTATGATTTCATCTAATCCAGCTGTAATTTCTAAGCAAGACATAAAAAAGAGTTTCTATGATGCTTATTCTGGGTCTCTGATACAATACTGAAGGAAGTCCATTAGAGTTGGGCAGTTAATAAATTCAGATAAATAAATGTGTGTATCAATGTATGGTTCCTAAATGAATGGAACCCATGGATTTTAGGTGAGTGTTTAAGTGCTGTTTCACTCAATTCTGTTATTTTTTTTTCTCGAGGCTTAATTGATAACTCAGGTCTGAGAATGTTCTATACTTCGGAGCTTCGTCCATATGACATGGGGGTGCTACATACAGGAGTGTTAACTTTTCCTATCCATTTCATCCCACCTCAAGCAGATTCTTTTAAATCTTACGGTTTCTGCAATACTAGTCATTTTCATGAGGTAAGCTTGGCAGCCTTTAACTCATCCCATTACAATCACCTGTAGTTATCTTTTTTATTGCACTCTTGAGTTCAGTTGCTCATTCTTATCAAAACCCTACAGTTGATAGGCTTCCTCCCTTCCTTTTTCCTGTTTGTTTGTTTGTTTGTTTTACTTTCAAGTCTGTGTTAACTCATGGTGATATCCTGGAGTAGTCCCTGCAATTTGCTTGGCAAAATTTCAAAACTGCCTCATCATGTCCTTCTTCCTACAGCTGAGAATGACTGGTTCAAAATCACTTAGCTGACTTTGTGCCTAATGCTGAACTAGAACTCAGGGTTCCTGCCCCAGCATCTTAAACATTACACCAAATTGGCTCTCAATATTAGGTCACCTAAAACATTCCACAAGAGTCCCTCCTAAGCCTCTTGTCAGAAAACCAGTCTGAGGAAACTGGCCATCTGAGCGGAGAGATAAAACTCCTTGAAAGAACTGGTAAAAAGGATGTGTGTGATCCAACTGTGTTCAGCAGATGAGGTGGGAAGATTTGATGTTGTCTTGGGTCAAGGTGATTCTGCTGGTTCCCAGTTTGTTCCTAAACAAAAGCTACCAGGACTGCTTATTGCTTGCTCTCACCATGGAAACATTGGAAAGAGATGGGAGAGGGAACACTTTTCCAAATGATAGGAAAGTAAAAAATTATTCCAGCTCTTTCTTCTTCCTGTTTCTAGCCACAATCCCTAAGGCTGTGCATAAGTTTTAAAAGGGATCAAGCCACTATTCTTGTGTCTCCTATAAAACATCAAAGTTTGGCCCTTCAGGACAGAGTAGATGTGAAGATAAAATATGTCATTTATAATCCTGTTGACTAATAACAGAACTAATGGATGGAGAGGAACACATGAGTAGAGAAGTTTCCTCCTCCTGCTGTTTGGATTGGAGCTCCTTCAAAGCTATGTTTCATCCCAGATCCAGTCTAAAACTAGTTCATCTCTTCTCCAGATCAATGGGAGTCCATTGTGTTTCATCCCACTAGTCCAGTCTAAAACTAGTTCATCTCTTTTCTTCTCCAGATCAATGGGAGTCCAGTGCCAGATATGCATGTCTTTGGTTATTTACTCCATACCCACCTAGCTGGAAGGGGAGTGAGAGGTATCCAATACCGGTAAGCAAACTTTCTAGGCCAGATGTAACAGCAACACAATCCCTCCCCCACAACTAAAAACAATATGGAAATGGCTTAAAAGTGAAAACTGAAGAACTCTGACTTTCCATCTTTATGGTTGAGAGAACAGTACATTACTTGGTAGTAAGCCAATAGTCTTATTATTTATTTATTTATTTATTGGTTCGATTTATATGCCGCCCTTCTCTGGAGACTCAAGGCAGCTTACAATGCGTTAAGCAATAGCCTTCATACTTTTGTATATACCTGCTTGTCCAATATAAACACACATCCAAAACAGAAAGAGTCTTTATGAAAGCACTATTGTCCACATAGCTATAATGTTCTTGGCTGTGGTCAAACCTAAAAGGTAGGAAAGACAAAGTGGACATGGAACAGCCCAGGGATCTAGCACCCAAGCCACAAAACAGGGGACATATTCACATGGTCAACCAAAGAAAGCAGTTGTAACCGTACAGGTTTCAGGTTGAGTGTTTCCTTGACCTGATCAGTCAAGAGTTTGCTTCATTGATAGTTGTCCTGTCCCTTTACTCCTTTAACCTTCCTTAACCTCATTCTTTAAAACTGAGATGAGGCCCTGATAGTAACTCTGTCACTGTTTCTGATCTAGAAACATTTGCCACCAATTTTCCCTTAAAAACTAGCTGGGATTCCTTGGCCTCATTCAGATCCTATTCCTGCAGACCTTGACTCTCTTATTCCCTCAACAGAGGAATTGTGGGGATACCATCCTGACACTGACCCATTCCCTAGAGAGCTCCCCATCCTTCTGAAACAGGCCAGATTACACCAAAGAGAACAGCCAATATCCTAACAAGAGAGACTTTATGCTATATGCTGATGGAGCCAAGGCTAATATGAAGACACAGCCATAAAATTCATTTCCCTAATCCTATAAATAAATCAATACATTGACATTTGAACTGCAATGACCTTTGGAAACATTTGTTTGGAAATTATTAGATCATGGTTGTTCTTACACCCCAAATATATCCCTCTCTGCAGCATTAGCAATGGTCTATCTCATTGATATTGTCTCTATGTACAGGAATGGAAAACAGTTGAGGATCCTCTGTGAAGACAATAAATATGATTTCAATCTTCAGGAAACAAGAGACTTGATGAAGCCTGTTGTTCTCAAACCAGTATGTCATTCTAAGATATCTTTCTGAGTTAAAGTTAGGCAATAAGCCCCTTATTATGGAGACCCCATATTCTCTCAGATTTATGACGACTGCTTTGTTCACAGGGAGATGAATTCCTGGTGGAGTGCCGCTATCAAACTACAGATCGGAAAGAGATAATATTTGTAAGTCTTCTCTGAATTCACAGGATAGACCGAGTGGTGGATAGACAGTTTTTGAAAATTAGATCAGGTTCATCCTGTAATATACAAATATTTTAGTAATAGTTTGCAGGGTCCACAATGGTTATTAGTAACTTGCCATTAATGGGCTGGATGATGGAAATTCAAATTTTTCAGTTTTCTATTTTAAGAGAACAAAATCATAAAACAAAGGTCAAGAAGCAGGGGAATGGTACTTCTGATGTGGAATTGCTATTGGAAAATTGGTGGTGTGTGTTGTCCAGTTGGAATTGCCAGAGAAGACTAGGACTTACCGGAAGCCATAGTATTGTTACTTGGGATAGATGTGGGATAGACAGTTCCACACCATATGGATTCGTAATTGGCGGACCAACCACAATCTTCAGTAGAGCTACATCTACATGAAGGGAAGCATGCAGTAGGGTACCTGGTTCTGTCTTAGGCCCACTACACTTCATCTTCTCCATAAATGATCTAGATGAGGGGATAGAAGAGGTACCCATGAAATTTGCAGATAACACCTTCAATCAGGGGGGAATAGCTAACACTTTAGATGATAGATTCAGGATCCAGAAGGACCTTGATAGACGTGAACACTGAGCTCTATCCAACAAAATGCAATCTGGGGGTGAGAAAAGTAAATAAGAAAGAAAAGTAAGATCCTACACTTAGGTAAGAAAAACCAAACACATAGATATAGAATAGGTTGTAACTGACTCTGTGAGAGAGATTTAAGTGTCCTAGTAGACCACCATTTAATTATGAGCCAGCAGTGTGCGGCAGCTACCAAATAGCTACTGTGGGCCTGGGTTGCATCAGCAGAGGAATAGTTTCAAAATCATGCAAAGCGATAGTACCACTTTATACTGAACAGGTGAGACCACACTGTGTCCAATTCTGGCCACCCCAATAGAAAAAATATGTTGAGACCTTAGAAAGAATGCAGAGAAAAGAAACAAAGATGATAAGGGGTCTGGAGGTTAAACCATATGATGAATGATTGACAGAATTGGGGTATATCTAATCTAATGAAGACAAGTATTAGGATTGAAATGGTAGCAGTCTTCCAGTACCTGAGGGGTTGTCATAGAGAACTTATTCTCCAAAACATCTGAGGGCAGGACAAGAAGTAATGGGTGGAACACCATTAAAGAGAGATTCAACCTAGAATCAAGAAGAATTGTCCTGACTGTACGAACAAATAAACCACTGGAACAGCTTGTTTCCCAAAGTGGTGGATGCTCTATCACTGGAGGTTTTAAAGAAGAGATTGGACAACAATTTGTCTGAAATGGTATAGGGTCTCCTGGTTGTACTAGAAGACCTTCAAGATCCCTTCCAACCTAATACTCTATGTTCTGTGTTCTAATCTTATTCCCACAACAAAAGTTTTCAGGGTAGGCTGAACTGAAGCTCCTGCACAATCTAGTTCTGTTCCATGAAACCTCAAATAAATATTGCTTTTCTTTTCTTTTTCGTTCTCTCAGGGAGGCCCAAGTACCCTGAATGAAATGTGCCTGATATTCCTCTTCTACTATCCTCGCAATAACATCTCCAACTGCCTAGGACTCCCAGACATTCAATATGTTGCCAATCAACTTGGCCAGGAGGCAAATGAGTGAGTGCTTCTGGCTAGGCCCAAGGAACAAAATTGCTTGGAAGACATAGTGGGAGAACGTGTGAGGAATGGCTTGCTACCAAAGCATCATAATGTTAAAAGCACCCTGGACAACTAGTCACCACTCCACTTATGGAATGCAGAATCCTCAATTTTTTCTGATGCTTAGTAGGGCAATGGGATGCCAGCAGAAAAACCAATCTGCACAGATCTGGAAGGGAAGCATCCTAAGGAAACATCTGTGGTTTGTGCAAATGATATACACCTATATATCAGTATAGGTGAATCTCTGTATAGCAGGAGTATAAAACCTCATCAGGGTGGAGACATCAACTTGAACTATATTTAGCTAATGTAATCCATTTAAATCCAATTAAGTCCAATGTTTGTCCTAACCCCTGCCCAATTTGTGTGTGTGTATGTGTGTGTGTGTGTCTCCCCAGCATGCTTTTCAATGTTTTGCAGAGGGTCTCCCTTAACTCACACATAGTGCCAGATGTAACTTTGAGATTGAAAAACTTGTCCAGTACTGCTATGGGGGGAAAATAAGCATTCCAAATGTTCTAGTTGTAATTTGAATGGAGTCTGGCAGTAACTGGTTGAGCTGGAGACTGTATTTAATTACACACCCATTATTCCTAACCATTAGCCAGGTCATTTCCATCCTCTATTAGTTGCCTGTTTTCACCCAACATTAGCTTTTGTGGATGCTGCTTTTTCTGTCTCCATGTCTCATCTTGGTATCTGTAGACAACTCCCTGTGTTGTGATTTCACCTTGCAGCCAAGCAGAAGGAATGATGGCCATCAACGCTGTACAATGGAACAATGAAACTATCAAGAAAGCAGAGAACGCATGCAAGGAAGGACCTCAGATTGTTACCATAAAAACCATTGATGTAAGTAGGCTTTAAATACTGGAGGAAATACAATTGATGAACCAATTGTTCCAGTTGGTCATGGTGAGTTGTTATAGACCCAACTGGAAAAACTAGAAATGGAACAATTGATAGCTAGTCTTGGATCTCTATGAGGTTTATACCTCCCAAACTCTCTTGATTCTGAACATGGCATGAAGAATAGCAATAAATTAGGCAGCATCTTTCCAAATTTTATGCAACTGAAGCTGACATATTGTCAGTTTCAACTCCCATCAAAGGGAACACAGACAAAGGCCACCTGTAGCTCAAAACAAAAATAGACCAGGTAATTAAAAAGCATTTATGGGCCTCTTTTTCTCATTCCTTTTCAGCCAAATTGGTCCTTCGTCCATTTTCCTCTTTGGATGGCCTTTTACACTTGATTTTGCCTTAATTCATTTCTTGCTTGACATCTATCTTCTTCTAGATTAAAAATCCCTCTTTTTGTTCAGGTTCTGACACAGTAGCCATTGAAAATTGTGACAGGAAAAAGATGTAGAAGTGTATTCTTTTTTTTAAATCCATAGTAAACCTTTTTTTAAATTGTAAATAGGTAAATCAATTACATGTATGACCTTCTAGTTCCAAGTCTTCTTTTGATTTGGTTGGGTTCCAACCCATTTTCAACCAATTTATAGAAATATATCCTTCTATGTTCCATTCCTCTCCTTGGAAAGTTTTTTTTAATACAAAGATGGTTATCTACAAGAAAATGTATACATTATTTAAATAAGACATTATACATTATTTAAATAAGACATCACACTCTGTACATTTCCAGCATCACATTTCTCTAAAAATAAAAAAAACTGAAATAAGCAGGGTATTGAAATAATCACTCCTGCTAGTAGTTTTTATTTTAACATTTAAATTAGGTATGTTTATTCTAATTTCACCAAGAAAAAATAATGACCTTGTCTTGCCCAAAGTCTGGGGTCATTAACCAGGGGTCTTTTGACTAGAATGAATATATATATATATTACTTTCACTGATCTCTAATTGAAATTTAGCTTGTCTTATAGGTGATTTAACAAACCACAAGCCTATGTATTACTATTATTTGTTATTTTTAAAATAATTTGATAACTATATTTGAACATAATGGGTTCCCTTTCTAACAAAATATATTTATATTGTTATAACAAATAATATACATGTACATGTACATATACATAATATAATATAACAATATACATGTGTTTTATTATAAACTAGTTTTATGGACTTAAATACATTCTTCTGACCAAAGCACTGTAGGTTTCTTGAAGCTCTCAAAGAATCCATGGCTTAAAAATCCTTTCCTTAGAAGATGGGCAAGGCCCAACAAGTAGGTATTGTCTATCTTGAACATTTTACTTCTTTACTTGCAGGAGGTGGTGGTAAACGAAACTGGTTTCATTCGTGATATTGACATTCCTGAACCAGCACCCTGCAAGTTGAGTCCAAGAGATGCAACTACGACACGTCAACCAGAAGGGCACACCAAGTACAAAGCAATTCCAGATGTGGTTTCCAAAGCTGTTGGGACCTCTTAGCCTGCTGTTCATAGCTTTGGGGTTTGTTAGGCTTCTCATCTTCTCCCCCACCCCTCCCCCTGGTATGAGTTAAAAGCCTTGCCAGTTTGTAGCTCCAAGCCCAGTTGTGGAGCTGCTGTTGTCCTTTTCTTTTCTCTGTGGCTGGATGGCTGGGGGTCTACACCCAACCACTTTTTTTTATTGTTGTGTATATGAAGTTCAAAGCTAAAACAAGCCAGCCAGCACTGAGGAAAGGTCCAAATCCCGCATATCACCTGGAATTTAGAGAGGACCTATCCTTCTTTTCAATTTCAAGCCAATCCTGCCATACAGTTCCACTCTGGGAAGAAATAGGGCATCCATCATGGGGTAAGCAGAGAATAAGAGCCCAGGGCAAATGTGGGCAACCAGTGAATTTTATAGCAGACTTCCTCAACCTGATATCTTCCAAATATATCATCTGGATTGAAATTCCCAGATTTTCCAGTAAACATAGCCAAATTCCTTGTTACCTGGTAGCTTTGAATATATGGAAGATACCTAGATAAAAAAGGGAACTCTTAAGTATTCTCTTGTGTTCAACCATGTGCCTTGCATTGATTGTCTGGGAAGGCAAGCAAAATGCCCTTATTGGAAGACGATTAGAAAGTAGTCTGAGGTAACCCACAGTAATAACATCCACAGCTGTAACAAGAAACAATATGCACAAGGAAGTGAAGCAGTCAAGTTGGCCCTTGACTTGAGTAAAAATGAATTCATACATGAACCCAACACATAGTATATTTAAGTATATTAAAATGGAGAAATGATTGATAGAAATGCAATAGAATGTTGAATCTTATAAAATTAGAACACAGTTTTGGGAATTTTGATATGTGAAACAAAGGACTGGATTTGCCATTTACTCTATCATTAGCAATTCAATTCTATTTTGAAGGTTCCACTAGAATAAAAGGGTGGAACAAACATCTAATATAAATAATATCTACCCTTAGTGTATTAAAAACAAAAACATTTTTTTCCAAATTCTTTGCAATAAGAATGAAATGACACAAGAGCATTTCTACTTTTTCATAGAATAGCCAACATCCGATATATTAACAGTTGTAATGTTAAGATCTTTAATGATAATTTCTCTGTAAATGTGATTAAAATAAGATTTACTTTCATATTTTATATAATTTTTATCATTCAAAAATTATAATATAATATATTGGGAATTTTTTAAATAGATAGAGGTATATTTGGTATGAAAATGCTCATCTGATTAAAAATACAGGTGCCTGATTATGACAATCAAACATAAATTTTTATCTGATTTGTGCACATGTTTCTGTCTTCTTTAGTATACAGTACTTGCAAGTTGCCTTCCAAACCACTAGTTTGGCGGCAGAATCGCTAGGGGGCAGGCTAGGTCTATGCTCCTTTGATAAAAATTAAAAACTTGTCTCTTGTTGGTCAAACGTTAAAGCTATCAATCCCTCTGCTGTCCCTCACCCAATTTATGCCTGAAGATTGAGCTATACCTATATTGACATGTAGACATGCAGGTGTTTAATAAGACAAATATTTGTCAATTCCTTCATTATTCAAACAGCTATGAGTCCATCCAAATAGCGGTGCTGAATTCTCTCCTCAATGATACACTTTCTTTTGCCAGTAGATCAATATGCCCATATTTTCACAGCTTCTCTGCATCCACCCTGCAGGTAGTTCTTGACTTACCACCACAATTGAACCCAACATTTGCAATGCTAAGCAAGGCAGGTGTTAGGTGAGTTTTGCCCCATTTTACGACTTTTCTTGCCACAGTTGTTAAGGAAATCACTGCAGCTGATAAGTTAGTAACACAGATGTTAAGTGAATCTGGCTTTCCCTTTGACTTTTCTTGTTAGGAGGTCGCAAAAGGGAAATCACTGACCCCGGGACACTACAACCATCATAAATACAAGTCAGTTGCCAGGAAACCAAGTTCTTTATAACTTTTCTTATGCCATCCTCGCCTTGTAATCCTCTTTTTCCTCTCCAACATATTATCAGAAGAACTTCCCATTTCCAATTCAATCATTCTGATTCAAAAATAATTTTCTACCTTTGAACCGACTAAGGGCTATTTAATGCTTTGATAGAAAGGGGCAGGACAAAATCAGTTTTCAATAGGTTTTGGCTGCTTATAGATTATTTGACTGATTTCTGAAAAGGCCTGCTATATCCTGTCCATAAAGGTAAAGGTTCCCCTCGCACATATGTGCTAGTCGTTCCCGACTCTAGGGGGTGGTGCTCATCTCCGTTTCAAAGCCGAAGAGCCAGCGCTGTCCGAAGACGTCTCCGTGGTCATGTGGCCAGCATGACTAAACACCAAAAGTGCATGAAAGACTGTTACCTTCCCACTAAAGGTGGTCCCTATTTTTCTACTTGTATTTTTTACGTGCTTTCGAACTGTTAGGTTGGCAGAAGCTGGCACAAGTAATGGGAGCTCACTTGTCCATATGTCCTCATAATCTGATAGAATACACAGATAGACCTCAATTTACAACAGTTCATTTAGTGACCATTCAAAGTTACAACTGTACTGAAAAAAGTGACTTATGACCATTTTTCACACTTATGACCACTGCATGTAAATCATGGTCAGGTGATTTACATTTGGATGCTTGACAACTGGTTCATATTTATGATGGTTGCAGTGTCCTAGGGTCACATGATCACCTTTGCAACCTTCTGACAAGCAAAGACAATGGGGAATCCAGATTAACAACCATGTTACTAATTTAACAACCTCAGTGATTCACTTAACAAATGTGACAAGAAAAATTGTGACATGGGGCAAAACTCACTTAACAAATTTCTCACTTAAAAACATAAATTTTGGCCTCAATTGTTGTCGTAAATTAAGGATTACCTGTACTTAATTCTCTCATTTACCCATCCCTATCCTGCCTCTTGTATTTAATTTCCCAACTGCATTATATGAACCTGAAAATCTGAAGCATACAAATATATTTCTAGTAAATGTTCAAAATTTTCAAATTCTAACTTGCAGAATTCCATCATAAAATAGCTGATTCTATTTATTACTTATATATTTGCTGTAAGCATATTTCATTTTTTAGAAACCCATGGTCCACACGAAAACATGCAAACTTGTCCCTTTCTACAAACATAAAAGGTAATAAATTGCTTGAAGATTGTCATGTGCAAAATGTTCCAGAAGAACTTCCTGGGAAATATTCCATTTTATTCCAGTTCTCATTGATTTGGCCATTCCAAGGTTGATCCTGGGTGTTTTATTTTTAATGTAAACAGGAAGTGATTTGATAAACTGGACATGTTCCAGCCTCCAAATAGAACATTTTGCATAGTGGCAAAGCTTTCCATTTCTGAAATACTGGCAGTTCTGTATGTGGGCTTCTTTCCCTAATCGTGGCAGACCCAGGTGGTTCCTAGGAGAGGGAAAGTGACCTGAATGAGGAATTTCTTCTAACAAGAACACAGAGCCCACTTCAAACTCATTGTCATTTAGAAAACAGCATTTTAAATAACCAGGCTCAAATTATCCTGTTTCATATCCTGCTATGCCCTGTCAGGGAACAGTGGATGAATCATCTTGTCTGAATATCTTGCAATGCCCCGTGATGGAAGAGTGGGTGAATTATCTTGTCTGAATATCAGCCTACACCTTCATCAGGAATTACACAAAAGAGAGATAGAAGCATATACCAAAGAACTGACAATTTTTTAACATATAGTAATTTTGACATTTCAGGATGTGTTCTTTTTTTTAAAAAAATGTGAGTGTGTGTATGTGCATATGCACAGGCAGTGAGTGTACACAGATTTCACCCACTACTCTAAGAGGTCATGTTTTCATATTGTAGAATAATCAGATAATTAAATGAAGTGCTAATGGCTATAGCTCTTCCCCACCTTCACTAAGCTATTGTTTTAGTAGAGTGTATTGAGAGGAAACTAAGAACCTAGCAAAGTTATATAGTGTGTTATCCAGCTTCAATACAATTGGGAGACCACTAATGCTATAGATAGATAGATAGATAGATAGATAGATAGATAGATAGAGAGAGAGAGAGAGAGAGAGAGAGAGAGAGAGAGAGATAGGATTTTGTGTGTGTGTGTGTGTGTGTGTGTGTGTTCACTTTAAAATAGAGTGGAAACACTAGCTGTCTCAGTGGCACTAGGTGTCTCAGTGGCAACTACAGGAAGACAAACAGCATGGACCACAGCCCTTTCTCTTCCAAGGCCTCATTTTTAGGCCCTGTATTGGGAAAGAAGGAGGCCATTTCAAATTGGTCCTTGGATCTTAGAACTATCAATCAAAGGACAGTAACACTGGGTTCCTCCTCCGCTTTTATATTCCTGGAGGGATGAGAAGTGAGAAATTTGGAAGCTGGGAATGGAAGGACAGATGGGAGGAAAGCTTGGAGCTTTAGCTTTAGCCCTAGGAAAACTAACCGTTATACTGATAGTTCTCCTCTTACGAACACAATTGAGCCCAAAATTTCTGTTGCTAACTGAGTTTGCTCCATTTTATGACCTTTCTCACCACAGCTGTTAAGTGAATCACTGAAGTTGTGAATTAACTAACACAGTTGTTAAGTCAATCTGGTTTCTCCATTGAACAGTCACTAAACAAATCATTATAAATCAAGGACTACCTGTATAAATACATCTTTAGAGCCAAGGAAGGCAGGATTGGATAGAAATAGTGTACATTTAGGGGAGCCTGTTTATATTCTACTTTCAGGGTTTTTTTTAAGGTGAATTTTACAATAGTGACAACTTTGTTCCTATTCAAAGCTTCTGGGACAGTCATAGTAAATATCAGCTTGTTATGGACTCAAGTCTCAGTTTGATTTTCCTGTACAGGGAGTCCTGAACTTATGACCACAATTGAGCTCAAACTTTCTGTTGTTAAGTGAGACATTTTTAAGTGAGTTTTACCCCGTTGTAAGACTTATCTTGCTACAGTTTTTAAGTGAATTACTGAAGTTCATAAGCTAGTAACATTGTTGTTAAGTGAATCTGGCTTCTGCATTCATTTTGCTTTACAAAAGATTGCAAAAGGTGATCACATGACCTTGGGACAAAGCAACGGTCATAAATATGAACCAATTATCACATATCTGAATTTTGATCACATGACCATGGAACTGCTACAAATGAACAATTATTACTTTCAGGTTTTGATAGGTGTTTGTCCCATCAGCAGAAACCCAAGATTGGAAGATGTGACACCTGTTCAAAATTTGTGGAGGTATGTATTCTCAGCTGTGGGATTTTGAAGCCCCCAAGGCGGCGGCTGCACTATAGCCCTAAAGAGAAAGGCTAGAAGAAGGTTTTTCAGAGAGGATGAATCTCTACCCTATACATCTGCCTCTGCAAAAGAAAAAATGACTCAGGGCAATCCCTTTGGCAGGCCAGCTCTCTTGGCAGGCCTCTCAGAGCCTCCATGTGTTCACTCTTAAAAAGGGCTCATGGCTAGTTTTAATTGGCCCTTCATTCTCTCCCTAGAAATGTCAAGATGGAGAAGTGGACGCCAAGCCTCTCCACAATTATGGAGAGCTCCACTGAGGTGGTAAGGCCTGACTCTCTCCTCATCATGCTAATGGCAGAAGCCCTGTCTTTGCATATTTGTTGATATGCCAACAGACAGAATCTTTGCATTGTTATTTCAGGATCAATTGGAAGAATCCTTTCCACTAGCCAGCTGGACAGAAGTAGAGAGCCCGTGTCCATCAAGGTAGGTAGCACCTCAGAGGGAGAAGACCCCTGCTGGTTCACAAGGGGTTTGCAGGGGGGAAAAGATGGACAGACCAAATGGCTCATCTTGGAAAGGGGAAGCTGGGCTAGTTGATTCCTTAAAAATTTCCCTTTCTTCCTCTGGACAGTCCGGATATATTGGAACCGGAAGAGGAGCTCTCTTCCAATGGGGAGAAACCATCTTCACAGGTAAGAAGGTTTTGGCAATGGAGCTGATGGAGGCTATGCCACAAGTCCTGATAGGGGAGGGGGAAATTGTGCGATATAGCCTCCTAGCCTCAAGGCTTCCAAAGGGCCTCTTTCTCTTGGCACACAGGAGCTGAATGCAGCCTATGGTTTAGCCATCTTGTTGAGCTGCAGAGAGCTTTGGATTTAGCCTTGATGCTGTCATTTGCAGGATTCAATGCAAGTCCTGGTGGGCTCCCAGAACAGCAGCCTGGAGGATGTGCTTGCTGAACTTCTGGACGAGTTGTCAGAGGGAAGCTGGGAGGAGGCTGCAGTGGCTTCTGATGCCAGCGAGTCTTCCAGTCCATGGGTAAGAAAGACAA